TAAAAATTAGAAGTTTGCCAAACATATGAATACAAAGCACTCCCAATTCCCAAACTCCAAACTCCATCCAAACTTCATAATAACAACACAATAGCACTCTGATCATTCATATCCTCAATAACATGATAATATTCATCAATTCCAATACATTCATTAAACATATCAACTTCTTAAATGTTCTAACCATTAAATTAAGTCCAGTTTATCTCCCAATATATACACCAAAATTAATTTACAACAATATGCTTAAGTTATAAATTAACTAATACAGTTCTCCAAAAATTAATACTTATACATGCCATAATTTCCTTAGTTGTACCAAAAAAAAAAAAATTACTTAAGTAACTATCAAAATATCTCTTCAGCTCTGATGCTACTCTTCAGGGTTCTTTTAAGCAGCAAGCACAATCTCCACCTGCGCGTTGATAAAATCAACGCGCTGAGTATAAAATGCAGTGAGTGGTGCTCATAAAAACACAACCAAACCAATGTTGTGATGAACAACATTACTTAAAAAAAATCATTGATATACATAAAATCATTAAATTTTGAACATGTATTACATATGCACACCAACACATCAATACTTTAGAAATTCATTTTGATATCATAAATACGTTGCTTGCGTTAAACTAAGAGTTATTAAACATAAGTGAATCTCATTTATTTCACTTCCTTAAAAATATTGTATAAGGGCTCCACATTACACGTTAGGAGAAAAAGAAGCAGCATAAGTTTCATAGCTTATTCATAATGGCCTTAGGTCACCAACCCTTTTCATAAACATAATAGAGCGCGTCGGCCCTAACATAAGACACCCACGTGCCTAGCATATGATCAAGCTTCTTATCATAATGGCATTCAAATTTGCGCGACAATGCCCGAGCATGCTCATCATACATAATAAAATCAAATCATGCATCAAATCCACACCAATTTCCGGACCAAAAATAACACCAACTTCCGGACCGGTGGTACTATTCACAGACCAGTAAACTACTATTGAAACACAAGAAAAATGGGGCGTTACAGTACATCTTCATAGTTGCTTTCCAGAAGGTGAATGCCGGTTTTAGAAAATCCATTAGCTACCCAATTTCTAGTTTCTTCATTTAATCTACAATAAAATATGTAAGTGAGATATTTATTTGTAAAATTATAACAAGAAAATCTCTCCAACAATTCATTAAATCTTGCCCAAGCTGCATAAAATGGCTCTAAATGTTAGTTGAATAAAACTTGCAACTACTTGTTGATGAAACATCTCAAAATACTTCGCAAGAAAGATAAAAAAAATCGATAAAATAAAAAAAATTACAAATAATATAAACAGATATTTCAATTAACCAACAAAAAAAAATGTCTAAATTAATAATAGGTTAATTAGTATTGATATTGGTAACGCCAATCCCCGGCAACGGTGCCAAAAGGCAACGGTTTGCCAAAACTTTGAACAGTGCCTTTCAAAATGTGTACGAAATCACCACAAGTAATACCACGTGAGTAGAATATCGTTGCCACGAGGGTTGTTACAATACCAAAAATTATGTTAACCTATTATTATTTAAACGAATAAATGAGGAAATTGTTTTCAAGAATTTAAATTCAACAAGTACAAAATTACAGAGGATCCAAGCAAAACAATTATTGATAAAGAAAACAAGGATTAAAAAATTACTAGGGATTTTGATTTTCACTTAATCTATCCAAATTTATATTAGTTTCACTAATCAATTTTTAATTGTTCAAGTAGGGGGAAACCAACTCTAAAAATCACTAACAAGCTTTTCCGAGTATGTTAGCTTATTTTAATTCCGTTTAACTACCTATCTTCTAATAAGTACAATCAAACATGAATTAAATCAATTAAGTTTTGTATTTTGTGTATGATTCATTAAATTCATAAATTAAAGTTGTTAATTCATGAAAACCCCCCATGAGTCAAACCATATAGCTTCCGCATCAAGTTATTATTCTCACGTGATTCATTAACTTTTTCATATCAAAAATCCTTTTTCCCATAGTGATTAATGAAATAAATCAATCCAGGGGAGAACCTCTGCCTGGAAGTATTAAGTTTATCAATAAATCATAACTTGAATAAAGAAAAACAAATCTAATATTATAAATTAGAAAAGAAATTAAGTTATATCAAATCCCTAGTATGAGAGTTTAGTTAAATATAGTACTTAAATAAAACTCAATAATACTTGATAAATATTCCATAATCTCAATAATGCTTGATAAATATTCCATAATCGATAAGAATAATGAAAGAAATGACAATATTAAGAATTTAGAAATAAGAACTAGTTAATAATTGGCTCGAGATGGCTTCCTTAAATCTTTGCACAACTCTTGAATACTTGAACTCTTAAAGAAATGAAACTATATACAGGACTAAAAATGAGATCTTGGACGAGATATGGGATATGAGACGGGACGAGGATGGGATGATTTTACAATGCATCCTTCCTCTCTTTATATAGACTTCTTGGGAGAGAACTTCTACATTGTTTAGGGAATAAATCCACATTGTTTAGGTTCCACCTTGTTTATGGAATAAAGTTCTCAATCAAGCCTTGAATTTCTCTCAATCATGTCTTCCATATGCATAAATTAAGGCTTGATTTGTATGTGAAACTTTGATTTGCATTTGCATGTCAAGAAAGTATCCAAGGTGAGCTCATGGAAATGATAAGGAATGGTTGGAAATTTTGACTCAAATCAGCACTTGATTTTTAACATGGGTGTGCTGCGAAGCACGGTCTGGGTGTGCCAAGTTCTGAGTCTATGGGGAGTTCAACACGGACCGTGCTCAGAGGTACGCTTGGATAAGGACTTGTGGCACGGGCGTGCTAGGGAGCATGGCTTGGGCGTGCTAGACTCTGAGTCTCCACTTGATCTCCTTGATTCCAGCACGTGCGTGCTGATGTGCACGGCTTGGGTGTGCTAAAGCCTGAGTGTTTTGCTTTATTTTACTCTTTTCTGTGCCAAAACCCTACAAATTTCCTTAAGATCAAGTGAATTATGATTCAAGGATTATATTCAAGTAAGTTTTTATATGAAAACATTAAATAAATTAAGAATAAAAACTAAAATAAAGTAATTAAAAATACTAAAAACTCCCAATAACACTATATTGAAAATACTATAAAAATAAACTATCAGTCCGATTTTAAAACTGTGAAAACATGTTTTGATGCAAGTGAAATTAGATTCCAAGTAGCTTTTATAATGAAAACATAAATAAAATTAAGATAAATAATTAAAAATACTAAAAACTCCCAATAACACTATATTGAAAATACTATAAAAATAACACTATCAGTTCCGATTTAAAACTGTGAAAACATGTTTTTTATAAAAAAATCCCAATTTATTTCTTTTTGTTTTATTATATTTTTTAAAATAACTTTTAAGATTTTTTATTAAATTGGTTTAATTTCTTTCAAAAGTAATATTTATTATTATTATTTATTCAAACTACAAATCTTTAAAAAATATTTTAAAAAGTTTAAAATATATGATTTAATTTCGGTTCAAAATCAGAATAAAACTGAAATCGGCAGGTTCAAAACTGTTTTAAAAACCACTTAAAAGCGGTTCGGTTCTGATTCTACCTTTTTTATACCTGGAACCGACAATTTTAATACTGAAATTGGCGATTTTGAAACCATAGCGTAGCCGTGCCCAATTGCAACCATAGGTATCAAATGTCATTAAAAGCCTAAGCATTTTCGAACAATTACGTCACTGCATTACATAGCGAAAAGAATGGCAGTCAAGCAACAATAAATGCACAACTAACATACAACTATCTCACAAGCCATTTGAATAAAATCCCTAACTATTAAAGTTGTTTTCCCACATCAATTTAATCCTAATTACTTAATAAGAAAACTTAACCACACTTTTGTCATAAAAAACCATGACCCTAATTATAATTTAGATAGTATAGCCATAATAAATTAATGCGAACTATTGAAGCAATTAATATTTCTAAGTAGTATATATATAAATTAATGCGAACTATTGAAGCAATTAATATTTCTAAGTAGTATATATTATTATGAAAATATATTTTGTCATCATATTTTCATTCCTAATAAAATTTTTGGTTTATGTCCTAGGAACTAATTTAATATATATAAATTACTATTTCCTCAAATTAATAACATCTATGACAATGGTATTTTCATAATTTTTGTATTGAATTTTACTTTCGGTATCATGAAATCAAACAAAATAATATTATTAAACCTTCGCTTACCTTATTTTTTCCCCAAACACAAAAAACCCTTTCACTATACTTTCTCATAATTTACTTTTCTGTACCTTACTTTAATAAAACTTCCCTCACTCCATCCAAACAAAGTCTGAATGGCCTGTCGTTCAATAGACAGCGACAAATTTTCGAGTTGAACAGTATCAAACCTAAACTTAATAAATAAATAAAATTAATCGTAACAAGAAATAATTGACGGACAACTATTGTTAAAAAAGGAAATGAAAAAAGATGAAAGAAAGGGCCCCTAAAAGATCGAAACCATTGTCAAAGTCTAAAACCATATGCTCATTATCATAATTAAAGAAGTAAGTTGCACCCACCAGTGGCAAGGTGCCTAACCTGATAGCCAGACACCTAGCTCTATCTTGGCCTTGGCCATGGTTATTTGTGTACTTGAATAAAAAATTAAAAATTAAAAAGAAAAGGCACAGCTTTTAGCTAAAAAAAAAGGAACATTATGTATACTAATAAACGATGACCTTTCTTTTCAGGAAGAAAACAAGGAGCTTTGTATCCTGGGTTTAGCTTCTCTAAACAGTCAGACATAGATTTGAAACTAGTACAAGGATGATAATATCCAGCCAAATTATTTAATTTGACCACTAGTCTGTCTTGCATTCCAAATGTGTTTTCATCAAAACAAAAACTAAACAAATAATCGATTATAAACCACAAAAATGAGCACAAAGATTAAGAAAGTGATCTTTGTCTAATTCTGCTTATTCAAGAACCAAAGTAGTACAAATAGGGAATGAAAAGACCCAGTTAGGGCAAGAAAGCACCTAAGTAACCACAATATCGTTCCTTACCTATGGCAAATTATCTAAGTTACATTTTCTATGCTATAATTTCAAGCATAACAATTACTACTCCAACCAGCCAGTGCATTGCTCAAGCAAAGAGTTATAGCCATGAACATCAACATCAGCTCTTGTTTGTTTTTGGAGACTCACTGTTTGATCCTGGGAATAACATATTCCTTGATCCTACTCAACATATCCCTTCCTATTACTACCCTTATGGAATGAGCTTGAGAAATCATTCAACTGGCAGATTTTCTGATGGCCTTGTTGTCCCTGATTATATTGGTATCTTTTTCTTTGTAGAATGTTTTCCTTATTTTTTCAAAATTTATTATTTTTCATTTTTTTCTATTAATTAGACCCTCGTTAAGGTTTGAATTCGCAAGCTGATTTTTTTTTTTTTTGCCGAATTTTTTTTTTATTTGTTGGAAAGTCCGATGGGCCTAAATAGCACTGCGAGGTACATAATAAGTATAACCACGCTCTAGACTCGAGCTTGAAACCTCTTACTATATAAATGAGAAAACCAACCAAATCAGATTTGATTGGTTATGGAGAAATTTTTTTGTTTTTTCTAATTCACTAATAACAATTTTTTTTTTTAAAAAAAAAGCCTTATTTAATGCAAAATGTTCTTCACTTTTTCGTAGCCTTGTCAGCAAAGTTGCACATAATTCCACCATTTCTTAAACCAAATTCAAATTTTGTTGATGGAGCCAGTTTTGCTTCAGCTGGGGCAGGTGTTCTTGAAATTCATGCTAATGCGGTATGCAAATTGCTCTGCTTTTCTCTGTTTTACATCCTCTAATAAAGCAAAATGAACAAAAAGGAATGCCTTACTCTTGTTGATTATATATATTTTATATTTCAGATGAATCTCAAAATGCAAGTAACAAACTTGATGAGAGTGCTCAAGTCAATGAAACATAATTTAGGTAGCAAAGCGGCTAAGAACCTTACAAAAGGATCAGTTTACATGTTTAGCTTGGGAGGAGATGATTACTTTAACTTTGCAACCAATTATCCTAATGCTACCCAAGCTGAGATGAAAGGCTTTGTTAATTTGGTAATTGGCAATTTGACAAAAGGCCTAAAGGTATGATAATTTATCATTTTAGCAATAACACTTAGAAATATGAAGTTATTTTTTCATATATGTATATTGCTACTAGTATTGTAAAAGGATTTAAATGGAATCCCTGATCAAAATTTTAATATTTTTTCCATTAATTTCGTTTTAATTTAGATTTCGAGGATCAAAAATTTTAAATATTTTTTCCATTAAATGCTACTAGTATTGTAAAAGGATTTAAATGGAATCCCTGATCAAAATTTTAATATTTTTTCCATTAATTTCGTTTTAATTTAGATTTCGAGCTTGTGACCTCCAAATTCTAGGACAACTTCAAATTTTATTCATAAATACAATTGGTTTTTGTAATTATATTTTATAATTAAAATAGTAGATTTTGAAAGGAGAAAATATTGTAAAACGATTTAGTATTGGAATTTGGAGATCAAAAATTTAATTTTTTTAATAATAGCTTCATTTTTCAATACATTCTAACTAAATTTCGAGCTTGTGAACTCCTAATTCTAGGACAACTTTAATAATATTAAGTCAAAGTTGATTGATAAACACAATTGGTTTTTGTAATTACACATTTATGGTTGAAATAGAAGATTTTGAAAAAAAAAAAAAAATTTGCATTTAGATACTAAATTAGCTTGACCAACTAATTTATTATTTTAGGAATGGATAAAAACATCCTTGAAATTTAAAAATTTTGTAGCTAGGCTTAATCATTACTTGTGGTCTACTCTGTTTTGAAGGATATACATGAAGCAGGAGGAAGGAAATTTGCATTTCAGAATGTGGCCCCCATTGGCTGTCTGCCTATGATGAAGCAAACTTTCAACTGTACACCTGATCAATGTGCACAAGGACCCCTACAATTGGCAAGACAACACAACCTTGCCTTGTCCAAAGCCTTGGACAAACTTCAAAGAAACCTTAAAGATTTTAAATATTCAATTTTTGATTATTTCACTGAGATTGGCAATATGATAGATAACCCTTCTAAATATGGTAAGTCATATATATACAATTTATGCTTTAGTTACCCTTTACATTTTATATATTAATTGAACCATATTAAAACAATGATATCATATTTTTTAATTGTAATTTTGAAGGGTTCAAGGTCGGTAAAGTTGCATGTTGTGGCAGCGGAGCATATAGAGCATCTAATTGTGGAACTGAACCTTATGAGTTATGCAGAAACCCAGATGAATATGTGTTTTTTGATGGTGGCCATACCACTCAACATGCAAATTTCAGATTATCAGAATTAATGTGGAGTGGATCAACAAATATCACCTGGCCTTATAATGTGCAGCAATTATTTGAACTTCCATGATTTGACTAATTTATGTTGTGAGTCATCAAATAATTTCTCTAATTATTTCCTGTAAATAAAGCAAGGGCATCAAGTTAGTTCTTGCACTTGATAATCTTCTTTCTTTTCTTTTCTTTTTTTTTTTTTTTTTAAATTTTGTACTTAATAATCATGTACGATGCTTTAGCCTCAAAATAAAATATTAGCCCCTAATAACTATATAATAAATCTCCTATTCCAATGTACTTACTATGTCCTTTTCTTGAAGAATGTTGCACACGCCTATCTAGCACGAGGATATCTAACTTTCTTCGTGGTTTGGCATTTAATAAAAATATTGTTTAGAATTAGCCGCTGGTTCACGGAATATATATATATACCAACTTGGCATTAAAATATATTCAAGCTGTTATTAATTTATTTTCAAGTCCATAATTTCCAATTTTTTCATAACCGAAATTCTTAAAGGGAGGTAGGGTTTGAATCACTAGTCACCTAAACTACAAAATACTGTATTACCCTAAAAATATATGCCCTGAATTTTAAGTTAGCACTCAATTATCTTTACAATATAACCAAAAATAACCAAACTTTATAACTTGAACTGCTTATTACTCTATCTAAGCAATTTTCTTTCTCCTTTGAAAATATCCCAATTTTAGTTTAGATGATTCTTTTCTTTTCTTTTCTTTTCTTTTTTTTTTTTTTTTTTTTTTTTTTTTTTTTTTTTTTTTTTTTTTTTAGGTAATTGGATTTTTTTTTTTTTTTTTTTTTTTTAGTATTGGAGAAGAGAACTGGTACCTGAATTTATTGTCAAGTGATACATGCCTCCACTTCACTTATCTCTTGATGTGTGTAGTTAAGACATTGTTCAGCTTTTAAACTAACTTTTAACCTTTGATGAAAACTCTATTTCTATTAATTGTAGTATTCGCTAACATAGTTTTTATAATAGATTTTATAGGTTGAGGGAGCTTTTTTTTATGAAACCTTCAAGAGTACAACATTTCCTTTTAGCATTTAATTAAATTTTTTTGACAATCATAACCATTGTTTTTTTCCTTCCAAATTCATTTAACATTTAAACCGCTACTATAATAGCTAATCCCTACTAAAACAGTTAATATTGTCCAACAGACATTAGATGAAGTATTTTTAATTATGCTAGAGACGTACATGTAAAAAATAACAGGCTCCTAATTATATAAATCTGAAAGTTGCCAGTATTGAAACTGCCAGTCAACTATGTATATATAAATCTGAAGTTCAAAATCAAGTTCTTTGTAGCTGTAGAATAAAGAAAAGACCACAAGAATCTAGCTTATCAATACATTAAAAACGTGCTATCTAGCTCCCCATAATTTTTGACTCCAACCAAAATTCAAAATCATGCATAGATATTAGAAAACTTAACACTCTAATTGATACATTTCATCAGCCTTTTACACTTGCAGATGAGAATTCAGATTTCCAAAGCTTAATTGTCGGTGAATCATCACAAGAAGGCATATAAGCCGGCGGTTCACGTAGAGAGGTCTGAGGAGTACCGCCATTCTTCACTATAATAACTGTATCCATTCCCCAACTGTAGTGGCGATCTAAGTGACAATGCCATAACCATACTCCTGCAAGATTAATAGAAATTAATCCGTGCCTAGTTATTGAAAAAAGATTTAATTTAAGGTTAATTATAAAACTCCCATTACCAGGATTAAGTGCTTTGAATCTAACAGTAAGCCATCCATTCTTTGGAAGAGTAGCAGTGTTCAAATACGGTGGATCAACCAAATTGTATGTTTTGGGATCTTCTTCAAAATCGAAATTTCCTCCTCCAGATCCAACAACATAGAAACTGTGTCCATGGAGATGCATTGGATGATCCTCTGAAGCATTCAGTACATTAGATGATTGAAACACCATTTCCACTTCTTCTCCATATTCTAGCACTTTCACCTTCGTCCCCATTAACGATTGCGTAGTATTAGTTGGCAACCCTTCTGCAACGAAGTCATAGAACACCGGTGGCATGTCTGGGAAATCTTCAGTGTAAAAACCACTCATGTTGCTGTAACAAAGATTTCACATTTAGTTTCTAACTTTTGTCCTCTAAAAATATTACACTTCATTATATCTATCAGGAGGTAAAGAACCGCTAAGTTGGTTATAATGTATTCAAGTATATCTTTAGTAAAAATAAATTACAGAACCAAACATAAGCTAATCAAGGTGTAAGAAAAGAGCAAACCTGTAGTAAGCCTGAAGCACATCCGTTTTAGGATTTACCCAAGTAACGTTGTTTAAGCTTGCAGCAAGAGAGATAGTAACATTTCCTGAATTGTTAAACAAGAACTGGTTCTGAGAAGCCACTATATACATCCGGGTAGTGATATTCTTAGGGACGGTCTGATTATAAAGGCTTCTCAATTTATTCCTGAAACTAATTCCTGCATGATAGTCTGTGTAAGAAGGAAGGGTTGTGTAAGGGAAAGAAGGAGAAGCTTGTGGTAGAGTATAGTTGCCACTATATTCAAGAATTGCAGTAACATTTGTTTTGTCATATTCAGTAAAGATTGCTTTGTCTGTATAAAATTGTCGAGCAGCAATATAATATCGGCCAACAGACTGGTTTGTCGTCACAAGAATGTCCATGGTTTGTCCTGGACCTATCATTATATAGCTTGTTACAAAAGGTTTAAGATATGCTGCATCCATCCCCACAACAGTGAGATTGTGTTCTGCAATTGCCAAGAATACTTCTGCGTTCATAATTGCATTCACTATGCGAAGAAGATAAGTCTTCCCAGAATCAACTTGCCAACGGTATGTTGATTCTGCAACCAAAATGGCAATGTAGGTCAATTAACCTTGTAATTTGAGGTATAAATAGTCAAAACTTTGAGGTCAATTTACCGTTGGAGCAAGCGCAAAAGTCTCCCGGTTGGCTATTTATGGTGTAAGCATCAGAAACAGGCAAATCTGCACCAGTTGCTAGATCTTGTTCAACTACTAGATTCACATCATAGGTATACCATGAACCTGCAAGCAAGGAAATGAACCAAAAAGCGAAAAAGAAGAGTGGTTAATTAGAACCATTTAACATTTTATAGGTAAAGATTTGGAAAGAAATTGAGAAATTTTTGCATACCCAGTACAAGAATTTCTTCTTTAATTAGAACCATTTAACATTTTATAGGTTAAGATTTGGAAAGAAATTGAGAATTTTTGATACCCAGTACAAGATTTTTCTTCTGGCATCAGGTTTTTTTTGCATACCCAGTACAAGAATTTCTTCTGCATCAGGTTTGGGATAAGGGTAGGATTTTCCTTCTTCGGGATAAATTACAATGGCTCCATGGACAGTGTTTCTTGTCCAGTCACTATGGGCATGCCACCAAAGTGTACCTTCCTCATCAGAAAATATGACCTCTTGGGTAAAGTTTGTACCAGGCTGGATTGCACATTGTGTAACGTATTCTGGACCATCAGACCATGGGTTTCTTGGTTGCTTGACTCCATGCCTGCCACAATTTCAATTAATACTCCTGAATTTTTACAGGGAAAAAGGAAGAGAAGCTACCCTTTGGTGGGTACCTTGAAACTCAAATCCAAATCCATATGCATTTTAAATGATTATTTGTATAAAGTTGATTTACAAATCCATATTTTTATGTTTTGTATAAAAAATTTATTTCAAATTTTACATTTTTAATTTTGTGAAAATTACTGTGCTTAAATGAAGTTTACCTACTATTAAAATTTATAAATAATCTAAGCTTGACAAGGATATAAACTATTAAAAAAAATAAAAATAAAAATTCAAAAATTTATGTAATTCTAGCTGCATTTAAGGGACTTGATACTACCATTTGGACGTGAAACCTACACATTGATGCTCACGATTTCGATGGTGGTACCAATGATTTAATTAGAGGAGGAAAGTATTTAGTGCTCATTTTGGCTAACTCTCTATCATTTTTCTTTGGCTGAGTGGCATATATTTCCACTTGGCTAAGTGATCCTACTCACATTAGACTCAGCGCCCAAGTAGTTTGGCTGATAGGGGGTCAAGAAATATAAAGATGTTGTGGGGGAGGGGTTTCGACGAATACAAATAACCTTTGATTTTTTCAGATTTGGACAGCATCTAAGGTTTTCTATAAAATAATCTGCAAGAAAATATTTTCTCTAATTTTCTATTGTTTGGAACATTAAAAGAAAATAATTCAAAGAAAATAAGTTGTTGATCAATGGAAAATGAGTTATCAATTAAGGAAAAAAATTAAATCACATTATTAGACTAAATTAATTATCATTCTAGTATTTATACTATGAGAATAAATTTTAAATAGAAAATCTAATTATTATAAAAATTTATCTTTAATATAAATTCTTATAAATAATATAATTCTTATAAATAATATGATAGGTGTAAATGCATTTACACAAAGGAAAATTAAAATTTTTAATTTATATCAAAAGTTGAAAAATATTTTTCAAAAATGTTTATATAAAGCCAAACGTGGAAAAATAATGTGTTTCCTGTAAGTTGTTTTCAGCAAATTATTTTCCGAAAACCAATAGAGTCTAAAAATAACTAATGAATTTATATTGTATTGAGATTGGTAAAGCAACTTTAAAGCTTTTTTCTGGTTGGTAAAGCAATATTTTGGATTAATTTTTTTTCAAAAAAAATAAAATTATCGCTTCTTATAAATAATCCACTAAACTCTACAAATTAGAATGCTAAACAAACACCAAATGATAATTTTAAAAATTAAAACAAGTAGTTTTCAAAGCACAATCTCCAAGAATTAGTTAAATAAGAAAAAAAATGATGGTGGTTCTGCAATTACATACCAGTGAATAGTGACTTTAAAGCCTCCTTGGTTGTGAACATTAACAAAAACTGTATCTCCCTTGTTCACATAAAGCACTGGCCCTGGAAGGCTTTCATTCACTACCAGAGCAGATTTTGTGCTACACAACCTTGTAAAATTTTTATCTTTCAGCTGAAAAAATCTTTCAGCTGAAAGAATAAATTTTTATCAAATTGCAATTAATACAAAAATTTACTGATTTAAATAAATAAATAAATACAAAGTGATTAATAAGAAAAGAGTTTATAATGGACTTACGACAAAATCATGATAATGGACTTTTCCTTCAACAGTAAGAAGAAGCAGAAAACTCAAAGCCAAAATTATCAGTAGTAGAAACTCCTTCTTTAACCCCATTTTAGTCCTTTCACTTGCTAATGACAGTGAAGACTAATTTTGGATCTCTTGATTTCTAGTTATGTGCTCGTAATGCTTCTTTTATATCGCAATCTTATCCTTCATTTGCAATTCTGACTTCTTGTTAATTTGGTTAGGTAAAGAAATCTTGTTATACTTTTTTTTTTTTTTTTAACTATTATAGTAAAGACATCTTGTTAAACTAGCCTCCGTTCAACTTATCACTGTAGTACTGCGTTCCTGCCCCTTAATTTGATATAATATATTTGTTTTTTTAATTATTATTTTTATTATTTTATATTAAAATGGTGTCATATATTAAATATAATATATTTTATTAAATTTTATTAATTCACTATTATTTTTTAGTCCCTCCACCCCTCGCCATGTAATTTTTAAATTTTTGCACCTTATGGATTGGGTTTATTTTCTTTAATAAGTAAGATTTGATGTAATTGTAAATTAATGTATTTGGAAAATTATAATATATTTTCTAATTGTTTTCTCTTGTGTATTATTTTTCACTAATAATTAAGTAAATTAATTTATTATTTTCCCTAGAAATAATAATTAAATTTATGCTAATAATTTTACACGAAATTAATAAATAAATGCGAACTAAAAAATTCACAGATTGGTTTTTTGTTTTTTTTTTTTTTTTTTTGTTGGTAACTATTTTTTTTTTTTTTTTTTTTTTTTTGTTGGTACTAAGAAAATTTATTAGATTCAGTTGAAGTAGATAGATTAAATATTTGAAATAATTAGGGTGTCAAAGTGTATATGATGATTGGATACAGTGACTCATTTATGTGCTAAAAAATCTTTAGCCTAAATATTTTTGAGCACGTGAAAAACACATGTTCTTCTTTTCTAAAAGTTAGCTATTGATAACACATGTAAATTTATTTTTCAGTCAAATTGAATGTGTTTTTGTTAATTAGCAGCTGGAGAGGGAGAGGAATAACAGTTGGAGACAAGATGAAGCTGAGGATGCCATACGTTCCAGTGAATATGAACATAAAAAGGAAACTTTTTTATATGGTTCACGAGTTTCGTATATTACGTTGAATTTTTTCAATTATAATAATTATGGCACTTCAGCTCGTAACCTAGTGTCGGCTTGCAAGCTTCCACGGAAACGTGGTCGTTTAGTGTCAATTTTGGGAATTTATAGAAAAGTTATTGGCTAAATCTACAAAAATACTCTCGATTTTAAACTTGTTGAACCCATTTTGTCATTTTTTAGATTTGGGCTTTCTATTTTATTTAATTGGGCCCGATTAATATTATTTTAGGTAATTAATTGATTAATTAATTTTAATTAATTGATTAATTAATTAATTAAAGAGATAATAGAAGAAGAGAGCTGCAGTTGGGAAAAAGGAGACAACTCCTCAAGCAATTATTCACCACATACAAAAGGTAGAAACCAAAGGAGCCAATGAGGGTAACATGCATCAGTGGATCTTTTGGTAACTGTCTGTGGAGCCTATAAAAAGAGGAAGAGAAGAGCAACCCAAGACCAACCAAATTCTCCGATGAATTTAAGCAAACTCTCCAAAGAGTCAATCAGTTTAATTTCAAAAGCCTTGTCTTTATTTTTTTCTAAGCATTATTTATTTATATTTTATGTAATTACAAGCTCTCTTTTCAATACAAGCAAGCAATTTATATTTCAAGCAATCAAACTTCTTTACAATTTTCTCTGTTCAAATTTATTTAAAATTGCACAATCGGTGAAGCATTTACTATGGATCCAAACCCACAGCTTAATCAAATCAATTGCACTTTATTTTTCAGTTAGTGTACTTCATATACCTAGCACGTCCGCAATTCTTCAACCCAAGCTGTCAACCAGCAGATTCGTTACTCTTTTCTAAAAAAAAACAAACAATCTTCAGTGGCACGCTCAGTGGAACCACTTTTGTGCATTCCATCTTTCACCTGAGTTTTAAGAGAAATCATCATGACTCAAAAAACTCGTTATGTTGTTGAAAAAGAAACTGCTACCGGGTCTCCGGATTCGGATGGAGGACTTATGAGAGTAGGCCTTAGAAGCCCTGAAAAAGGAGCATCTCCTCATAAGGAAGGAGAAACCAATTCTCCTGCTCAAAATCCCCAGAGGTTGCAGTTACCTCTGACGATCTCAATAAATGCTCGGTTAAAACACCTTCTATTTCTAATGATGTTGTCATTAACTTTAGTTCTTCTAATGTGAAGGCGATACTGGAAGCATAGAGGAATAATAGTCAGATGATGACCCAATTGCTGCAAACCATGAATATCTTTATGAAGAAGGTCACTGGAAAGAAGATTGATGTTGTGGACTCCCCCATCAATCCATTCATAGTAGTTGTCCACAAAGCCATTCTTGCATAGATGAAGCTTGGTTGTATCAATATCAAAGAATGCTCTGTTTTGCACTTTTTATTTTTATATGGATACCTCAATTTGCTACCATCCATATAACTCGGATTGCCAACTGCAAACTGCCAAATAATTCCAATCCTACCAAAAATTCTTTTCTAAGTATCTCATTCACCTCATACCTCTTGTACATCCATTCTAAGTATCTCATTCAAACCTCAATACCTCTTGTACATCCATTCCCGATCACTTCCGCATTTTTTTAGGGTACTGAAACACTCTATTTTCCATTAAGGGGATAAAAGATTAATAGGAATTTAAAAGGTTGTTTAATGTTTTCCCTAAGTACAATTATTATTCCATAATCATTGTAGTTTATTGTGGCATAATTTTAGCAGCATTCCCTCGTAAAAGTGTCAAATATAAATTGAAAAGCACAATTACAATAACACTTCATATATCCAACACCATTCTCTAAACCACATTATGGCCACAACTAGGCCTCCAATTCACATAATTTTCCCAATTTCACCATCATAACACAAATATATAACACATTTTTATTCTCTAATGCAAGTACAAATCCAGGGGCGAAGCCACATACAACCAACCATTGGCATCTGCCCACCCTGAAATAGGAAAAAAAGAAAACTTTAAGTTTTCATGCATTTGGGTAGAATCTAATTAAACTAATGATTCTCATGTTTCATATACAAAAAGATGATTTGTAACACCCGCCGCCCAATCCCGAGAGACCCGACGGCGGATGCCGCATTTGGTGCCGGAGGCACCGTCCTAACCTACATATAAATCACCTTAACCTACATATAAATCATATTAAATCATATTAGAATTAGCATACAATCATATTATGAATTAGAAGTGATTTAGTATTCACAAGTTTAGCAAGTAATAATATTTTGTTTTGAAAATGATTTGGGAGAGTCCTATAGAAAACTGCAACAATTTCCCCTAAAAGTCGCCAAACATATGAATACAAAGCACTCCCAAATTTAAACTCCAATACCAACACAATAGCACTTCTATAATTTCATAACTACATAATTCCTCAATAACATTTTATTTTGTGGAGATAAATAATATTTTGAAGGAATTTAATTGGGGAATATTTGTAGCCATTAGATTATATTACTATTGACTCAATCCTAGCCATCCAATTATGGAAAAAAGACTAAAAAGCCCTTTCTTGCTCTATATAAGTCAACCTTCAATAATTGAGCAACAACTTTCTCTTTTCTTCTTCTTCTTCTTCTCCTCCTTAGGCGTTACTTTCTTCTTCTTCTTCTCCTTATTTTTCTTCAATTCCTACTTGCCAAACACCTCAATTTCACTTCATTAAACTTGATTTAAGTAATTAATAGTAGAGAATTAAGCTTGAGAAGTGATTTGTGGTGATTATTTTCAAGAAATTTGGAGATTCTCTACTTAAACCAAAGGTTGGGGAAACCTCTACCATGGAGTGATAATCTCATTATTTTTTTGGGTTTAGAGTTTTCTTTTAGCCATACATGCTTAATTCATGCTAATCATGCTCCAATTTCTTCTTTTATTTGTTTTCTTTGTTTGATTTTGAGTTTCTTCCATGTAGAGGGTGGAGAGCCTTCTAACAAAGATAAGGGTAAAACTAAAGCTTAAGGAGCTTTGATTAAAGCTTTCTAAAGCTTATTTTGAAGGTTAGTGTTCATAAACATAATTACTTTAATTACTCTAATTTTTGATTTTGTGCCTTTAGGCTATCATGTGTATATTTTGGGATTTTAAATGAAATTATTGATTTGTTGAATTTGGGTTGTAATAACATGCACTTGGGTGATGTTTGATGAGTAATTATTATGTGGTAGACATTTCTACCTTCTATCTTTGTCGTTCATGTTCTTTTCATGGTTGAAGAAAGCTGACAAAACGTGTATATTGAGGAGATTAAGGACCTAAGGACCATTTTTTGATCCTTTCTAGTTTCCATTTGTGTCTGAGTCCTTCATAAAAGTTGTAGGTCTACTTCTCAGCTTTCCAACCCATCCTCTTGGGTCAAATTTGGAGGTATATAGCTCAACTTATGATTGAAACACCCCAATTGACTCTGTTATGTCGGGCCATAAGCATCACTGAATTGAGTGCCCATTTTGACCACTATAATGACAAGATTAGGTTCTGCGATCTTCATGAAAGTTGTTTCCCTGTGTCTTAAGACTTCCCTGGTTCTGGATTGGTTTAATTTGAGTGTTTGGTTAAGTAGGACTTCAATAAACATTGGACTTGTTGGACTTGCTTTTGCTGAATCAGGTCTGGTCTATTAGTTTGTGTTCCTAGCTTTTGTTTGCTATCTTAAAAATTGATCTGGGATTTGATCCCTTCATAATATTTGTAGAATTGTTTCTTATCTTTCTAATGAATCTAATTTCATTCAATTTGGAGACCCATAACTCAAGTTATGTTTTGAAAACACAGCAAAGGTCAAGGTTACTTTTATGCTGTTTCTATGTTAAGTCAACTTTGTTTAAGTTATGAGAATTTTTTATGAAATTACTTAAGTTTAAATTAAGTTTCTTTTATGATTTTAAGAAGATTAAAGAAAATAATTCTCATTTAATTACAATCATTTTAAACATATCAACTGTCTAATGTTCTAACCATAAATAAGTTCCAAGTTTACCTTCCCTATATATACACCAATTAT